GTGAATTTGTGAGGATAATGCAACTGCTGTACGACAATAATCCCAGAATTGCTCTTCCAAATTCTAGATGAATTTTTTTATTATTTTTTTTTTTTTAGCTTCAAACCTCCCAGTGAAAAATATTAAATATTCAAGGTAATAAAATAGATTATTATTTCTAGACTATATGTTCGGCCTAGCCCAAGGAGCGTCACCTGGGATACCCCTTGAAATAACCCCTAGACCACTGCATTGCAGGCAAGGCAAGGCACTTCCGCAGGTGATCCAGCTCGGCTTGCAGGCGCTCGCGCTCCGAGACCATCTTCTGCTTCTGGGTCCTTAATTCCTGCGGGCAGCCAAAGTAGGGGGAGAAGACACGGTCAGGGTGGGCAACATCCCCCCCGTCACACCCCGGGGGCAGTGGTGCGGGGAGCTGGGGTCAGGGTAGATGACCATCTATGGGGAATGTGGGGTGGGAGCGTGGGTCATGGGACAGGGGGAGGATGGGGCACTGGAGGAGGATGGGGCACTGCAAGAAGATGGGGCACTGGAGGGGATGGGCACTGCAGGGGAGGGGGCACTGGAGGGGATGGGGCACTGGAGGAGGATGAGGCATGGCAGGAGATGGGGCACTGCAAAGGATGGGGCACTAGAAGAGGATGGGGCACTGCCAGGATGGGCACTGGAGGAGGACAGGGCACTGGAGGAGGACGAGGCACTGCAGGGGATGGGGCACTAGAGCTAGAGAAGGACGGGGCACTGGAAGAAGATGGGGCACTGGGGGGGATGGAGCACTGGAGGAGGATGGGGCGCTGCCAGGATGGGCACTACAGAAGGATGGGGCACTGGAGGGGATGGAGCACTGGAAGAGGATGGGGCACTGCAGGGGAGGGGGCACTGGAAGAAGATGGGGCACTGGAGGGGATGGAGTACTGGAGGAGGACGAGGCACTGCCAGGATGGGCACTACAAAAGGATGGGGCACTGGAGGGGATGGAGCACTGGAAGAGGATGGGGCACTGGAGAAGGATGGGGCACTGGAGGGGACAGGGACTGCAGGGGATGGGCACTGGAGGGGACAGGACACTGGAGGGGATGGGGCACTGCAGGAGAGGGGACACTGGAGTAGGATGGGACACAGCTGGGGATGGAGCACTGCAGGAGCAGAGGGCACTGCAGAGGATGGGCACTGCAGGAGGAGAGGGCACTGCAGAGGATGGGCACTGTAGGTGGGTGGGAGCCCCTACGGGAGGTGGGGTGCCTGGCAGAGCGGGGGTGCCCTGCCCCACTCACCGCCATGCTGTGCGAAAGCTGCTCTGCCGTCAGGCTCAGGCTGTAGTGCTGGGCCTCCAGCCGCCGGCACTGGGTCTGCAGCACTTGGCGCTCCAGGTTTTGTTCTGCAACACCCAAAGGAGATGGTGGGGGGGTGAGCGCCGGCTCCTCCGGCTGCACACACGGCACAGGATCATGCCCAAGCACCGTGGTGATGCCACAGAGGATGCCAGCCCCGTGCGAGGCTCTGCCCAGCTGGCAGTGATTGCCTCCAGCATCCCAGAGCATCCCCAGCCCCTGCACTGCTTGCTGGGAACCTCCAGGTCCCACTGGGAGGACGCTGGGCAGCTGTGAATACATGAATTTTTCATGTATACATCAACGTTCACCAGAGCCTGTTGCTTTCCTGCTGCTCCTGCGGTGCCAGGGAGCCACCAGCGCTTCCCCAGTCCCTCCCAGCAGGAGCTGGAGATGCCCAGTCAGGGCACAGAGTGGTTTCACCCAGGGGAAACTGAGGCACAAAGTGTGGGGGGTTACCCTCCCTGCTCCCCCTCCCATCCCCTACCTTCTATATGTTCCTGGTAAGCTTCAAAAATTGCCTCGATCCCTTGCCACTTGGGCCTGGGGTACTCTTCCTCCTCTTCTTCCTCCTCCTCCTCCTCTTCCTCGGAGGCCGAGTCGTGGGGCAGTGGGGGCAGCGCCCGGTGGGGCAGCGGCCCCTCGGCCGTGCCGTTG